ATACGCTGGAATGCATTCTCCCCAACTGCTATGATTGTCGAACTTCACATTTTCTTTGTACGAACAGGTTTGAGTCAGTAATTCTTGCCATATGGTTGTAAAAGGCAGCTTTATTAGCTAGATCAATCAATCATTTACGTTGGGACTGCCCAAATATACTAATAATGGCGTGATGGCACAGTGAAAATTCGGCTGACTTTGAAATCCGTTAGTACATGATTTGGTTCTGGCGGAGGGCAATGTTTATGTTAAATGCGAATTCCCTTAAGCAAGGAAGAATTCACCAAATGTGGCTTCGAACCGGGATTGTTCAGTTGGTAGAGCGTCCAGACTCAGAACTAGAACGTCCTGAATTCGAGCCCTGGTCCTGCCTTCCTTCTTTCTGACATTGATAATTAAGTATCACTCTATCGGGAGGAAAGATGAGACAACGCACTACGCTTGCCAATTTGCTGCTGTCGATTGTGCCTCTAAAAAATAAGGCACTCCTGGATGATGACATGGAAATGGAGATTGGCGCACCACCATTAACTTCATTAAAGGCACGGCGTCAGAAACGGACCCATCATAATAATGTAGAGAAGACCGACATTTCAAAGCTTACAAACTTTCCATTCCCCTTTTTAGATTTGCGGAGGCATTAATTCACGAAAGAGACGTTTCGATAAAACGACCGTATGCGAATGACAGTAAAGTTCAAACTCACGCGGCAGCCCTGCGCGCTGACGTATCGTCATCGCACAGCTGTCACAACTGAATTGTAATAGGAAATTTACTGGTTCGACAATGGCATCGTACTTGCCTTACAGAATTTTACTCACTGATGTATAGCATGATTACCTTAATCATGTGATTGATGCAGCTGACCACTGTTCAGTTATACAGATTCAAAGGAGCGCGTGCTGGCAACAGCTAGCGACTTGTGCCTAAACGGGCTGCGCCAAGATGTCACAGACCGTTGATTCATATGTTCGATATTATGTCCAGTTAACATGTAATTAGCTGAAAATCAAGATTTTCATATGCGATACTTTTCTGACGTCCTCTCCCCTTAAAATGACTATCGAAATTAATATTACTTGTATCAGGTACCGTTAATCAATCCATCAACGATTATTTGTTGCGTTATGCAGCACGCATTGCTATCAGCACATTCCGAATTTAAGACTATTTGGAAATAAGCAAAGGTCGTTTTCTTTATTCTTCTTCATGCTTTGACGCTGCCCTTACTGTACAGCTGGTTTGTCGATCTTCAGGCGATATAATTTCTGTACTATATTAAAGATGTTTAAAAGCTCTTTTGGTTAGCTGTAGCCGTCATATACAAATTAATAACTGATTGAGGCATTATCACTAACTCTTATTTTAATCCAGCCATTTTCTTCCAAGGTAGTATCGTAATATATTCAGAACAGAGGCGTACTGCAAACTGGGATTGGGGAAATCAGTCTTGCTAATCGCCCTTGATGATCTCAAGCTATTATGAAAAGAACATAGACATTTCCTTAATACAATGGACATATACATGTCATCGAGTAGCTGGCAGAAAAGTGCAACAAATATCACGTGTCACTGTTTTGTTTTCCTCAACCACAAGAAGGGCGTTCGATTCAATAAAACCATGCTAAACGAATGTACATGTATATGGCATAAACTTGATAAACTTGATCGAGCTTGAACAACGATTGCAACGCCGATGTCAAGCTGTTCTGCGAACCACGTCACATTAGTACCCATTGAGGTTAGAAATCATCAATCTAGGTACTCTGTCGTTGACCCATCTACCCCATATGACGATGACAACAACAAATACCAACAGAGGAGTATGAGAAAAAAATACCATCCCATCAGTGCTCATCGTCACGACCATCTCATTATAGTTCAACCAGTTAAATGGGTGCAAGGCATCAATACTAATGAATGGCATCTAACGCATTTATTATATGCAGACCACTGCATTGCTTTCGCACAAACCACCATTGAGCTCCAATATTAATACTATTGCATCAGCTACTTGATTCGGTAGTTACAAGAAGAATCTGTCATACCGGTTTGGAGGTTAATCTCTCCAATATGAAATGTAGCAAAACGTGTAGTGCCCAAAGGGCTCTATCCACGAGAATTGCGAAGAAATCACCAGCTGTGCACATACTGAACGTCGATGGGCCTTAATTCGCTAGAGAGGGAAATCAGGCAAAACAGTCAGGCGACAAAAGCATGCTTTAATCATATTAAAGCATAATTACTCGACAAGAGCTGCCCATGTGGTCAAAGAAAGAACCGTTTAACTCAGCTGTCCTATCCACCATGATCTATGGCACTCATTGATGCTCTGCTCCTAAAGCCTAATGTGAATAACATGATTTGCATGCAAAAAGCGATGGAGCGAAAAATGTGCAACGTGCGCTCCTTTTTGATCACGTTCCGATCGCACATACTCGACAACGGACTGGATTAAGGGTAGCAATTTGTCTTCTACAACGTCGAGAAGAATGAAATCCACCTGAGAGACAACCGGTGGACATGAAATATTACAATATGGGTTTCGCTGGAGTACCAACGTCGATCGCTGGAGCTGATCGCTCGCCCAAAAATACGCTGGAACGATCCGCTGATCCAATTAGTTGGTTAGCAGTGAAGACAAAATGCGGAAAAGAATGTTAGAGGAGCGTCGACTTGCGTTCATGGCGTAACCATAGCGAGGATAAGTCAGATAACGGATTATAAAATCACCACGTTGACTCTGCGAGTCGGACTGATTCTGCATTCAAAATGAAGCAGAGCGTCACATTCCACAGGTACAGAGGTCTAAGTGACACCGATACACCAATGTTAAGGCTGATGAGGTTAAGCACAGAGATACAAACAGGTGCATATTAATTCAGTTCAGGTTTCTATTCCAGAAGCAGTAATACTTTTATTCGTATGGATTAATTCTGACAACAAAATAGAGTCGCAACATGAAATACATGCAAATAAAAAACAAATAAAACAGTATACTCACAGCTCCGGGGAAAAGTTTTAGTCCAGCGAAATCGGCGTTTGTCAGCGGCAAAATCTCCTTTCCACAAATAGGTGGCTTTTCAATCAGCTGTCGCAATGAACTTAACAGCGAAATCAATTACGCTCTTTAAAAATATTTTTTAACTCTATATTAAATTTTTACAACAAGGTAAAAATCGTGTACTGCATCAAATCAGCGATATTATACAGAGTGTCTGATAATGACGTGCAGAGTTCAGATACAGTTTAGGAAAGCCATTTTTATTAGGTTCAAATGAGAAACAGGTGGCTTAGATGGTCAAATCACTGATCAGATGATTCTGATTTGGCGAAGTTCTCCACTCTCATCAATGTTTAACAACGACATCAGCAGTTCATGGGTGGTTTGCCGGAATGCTCTTCAAGGTAAGAGCCTGAATGAAGCAAGATGCCCAGTTCTTGAGTAATTGAGAGATCTTCTCTCCCTGGATCTCGTAGGAAACTTTCATATCCTTGTCCTTAAACTTCATACAAGGGATTCTCGAGAGGATGGACAGCCAGGCCAGAAACACAACAGCAGCCTTTTGGTAATAATAATTTTGTTGTATCTAAAGAATGTGCTAAGGATTCGTTGGTGGTGGCTCCAGAGCAATATGATTTTACAGATTTCATATATAGAATAGCCGGCAGACAAAGCTATTGCTCAAAGTGTTAGCGTCGGCTCCCCAGCTCAGCTCAATCAGCTTATGTTTAGTTCTTTTGCCGACGCTCCCTGAGCAATAGACAGTGCTTTTTCGTCACTATAAGATACTTCCGATAGACCATGTATTCAACTCTGTCACCGTGGAAAGTTTCAGCGTCGCTTTTGTTAAGCGAGAGTAGCCCTACATGACATTCAAATTTGCAATTGCGGTCGAGGTAATTCAGACTGTTATTTTGAAATGCCTGCGGTGGCCTTAAAAAATGCCCTTGGGTTTAAATAAGTAGAAGGTTCACAGTGACTGTCTGTGCGTTAGGAAATGCAGTGGGTAGTTGGCGTCCGGCCAGCCATCCTGGATGTTTGCTGACATCTAATTTTTGATATGAGGTCTGGGTAATTTACATCATAACGTGAACACAAGAGGTAATATGTGAAGGCGATAAGTGTCAAACACCCAACTTCCCAAATGAAATCTCGACATGCCAGTGTCAAATCATCCGCGTAAGCTAACTTATAAGACAACGCTGCTAGAAGTCGCCTATGTAGAAGCAGAAAAGCAAGGGTATCTATGGCGAACCTTGCGGAAGTCTATCGTTGATTGTTTTGGCTGTGCTGGTCTAATCGTCCATGTATATTCGAGACCTTCGGTTACTCAACACTGAAACGAATAGACCCAATGTGTCACGGTACTGCAGAGCTGCGGAACCTGCTGATTTTACATATGGATTCATCGGTATTTATTAGCAACGTTCGATTTCTAGATTTATCATATTCTAACTGATTCGCACAGAAAATTCGGTCTATTTCTGCTATCAAGAAAGGATAGAAGGAAAGAATGCAACCGTTAGAATTGACTTCGTAGCACTTTCACGACTTCGTCATTAAGTCATGAAGTTAATGCTCAGGGCTAATCAGCAACCTGGACTGTCTTATGTAAGAGGTCCAGCCTGCAGCAGAGTGTGTAATCTTAATCTCCTGTTTCCTTCCAGCAGAATGGTACTCAATTATCAAACTCAGAGGGAAAGAAGGCAAGAGACCCTGACCGGGCCTTGAACACGAGAAATATCGGTTCCAAGCCAGAAATTCTGTCAACCGAACATCCAAAATATTACGGATTACCTTGGCTCATAAAGCATTAAGAACAAACAAACAAACAAACAATTACAGTCTAGTTCAAAATGAGAACCACTAAGACATTTCATGATTACCTTCCATCTTTCTGAGCAGGCGTATCGATGCTACCAGGCAAATGCGGTAGAAATGCGCTTAATTCCTCTTTAAGTTTCTTGTTGTTGCAAAATTTGTTCCATGCGTGGTCCAGTCCATAGTAGGACAGTAGATTCATGTTCCCTGTGACTGAACTCGCTTCTGACAATGAGAACGTTAGAACTGTTGGCATAACCTTACAAGTCACTATGCTACCTGGTAACTCGCTTTTCATCAGATAGAATGGCATAATAACCGAAGGCTTACGACCCAACGAAATTTTCGTTCGTAAGATTCCAGTCGAATCACGACTTGGAGAAGACGTTTCCGCACTTTCAGCCTCCTCCATCAACTTCTAACCTGAGCATGCAATGACACAAATACCTAAACTAGATCAAACCATAATAATTAATTAAATGCCTTTTAACAGCAATAAGCGTAATGCGCATAACGTTAATACCAGCGTGTATCCAGACTTTTTTCAAGGTAGAATTTGCTGCTGTTGGTGATTTTCCACGGTCGCAAATCTGGTTACCGCATCAGAAGGATCCGCTGAACAATACCTCTTCACAAAATTCAACGCAGAGACACACTGCGATTGAGGATCATCACCAAGTTACTGCATCGAGCCG